AAGGTCAAGGACTGAAGTCTTCAATATGGATTGCATCTGAACAATCAAAACTAAGATTCTCACCACTGGGCCAATTAGCATTATCATGATAGATGGAGAAAAGATTGAGGTTGTTAGCAATTTCATCTTGTTTGTATCCTGATGCCACATTCTTTATATAGTCCAGCTTCTTGAATGATTGCTCAACCTACACAGTGAATAGGTAGGAAGAAAAGAGAAAACCTTGACATTTTTAAACCCTGATTTTAAACTATGCAGTATTCCTTTACTCTGTTCAGACAACATCTTCTTGATCTAGATAAAGATTTCATATGAGCATAATTAAGTGTTTTGGGATTTCCATTCTTTTCAATGTCAGCCATACTTTGTTTTGATCCACACAGTCTAATGCCTTTGAATAGTCAATAAAACAAAAATAAATATTCTTCTGGTATTCTGTTTTCACTCAAGGTCAGTCTGTTATCAGCAATGATAATGTTAGATAATTTCCACATGCTATTGGATCACATTTTGGAGGCCTATGAACAAATATGGATTTTTCCCAGTCAGTTGGCCAGTAGGCTATCTTCCAGATTTCTTAGTATAGACTAGTAAGCATGTCTTGGGCTATATCCCTTTGTTGGAACATGTCAGTTGGTATTCCATCCATTCCTGTGGATGCCTTTTTTATCAGTGCCTTCAGTGCAGTTTGAATGTCTTTCATTTTTACTTGATTGTTCTTGATCATATACTCTTGAATGTTTGTGTTGACTAGCTCTTTTTGGTACAGTCTCCCAATGTATTTCTTCCATCTGCTTTTAATGCTTCCTTTATGGTTCAAGATTTTGCCCATAGAGTATTTCAGAATTGCAGCTTGAGGCCTACAAGCATGTTTAATTTGTTCTTATGAATACAGCCATTCATTATCTATCAGCTTGAGCTGTTGCAGGAGTGATATTCATGTTCCTGCTTATTTTATAGTTTGTATATGACTGCTTGTTTATAGTGTTCATTGATGAGTACAGCACTTACCTGTCAGTTTGCTGTACGGGGGTGACTTGCAGGTTGCTGTAATGTTGGAAGCTTTGCTGTTGGTGTTTTAAATACCAGCAGGGTCACCACAGTGGACAGTTTTCAGCACAACAGTGTACAGTTTGCAGGACTTGAAACATTTATTTCTATATTAAGACTTACTGAGAACCA